CGATTATATGCTTTTTTCTTTATTCAAAACTTTGAACATGTTCATGAACTTTGAACCTAGGTTCAATAGAAACACTATTTACTGTCATATTATCTTGCTTAGCTAATGGTAGAAAGCTCCCACCTTTAATTATTTTTAAACTAGTCAAGGTACCTTGTGAAGAATTTCCTGATGATGTTATTGTATGTGCGAACCCTTCGGGATAGATGAATAAAAATAAAATAGTATAGTGGGTGGAGAACATTTGGACTCAATAAGCACAATGTAGTAATAATTCACATTCTCTTTTCATTATGGATGCATTTGCTGGTTATACAATGGATCGTGTGAAATAACGTTTTCAAGAAAAAAATACTAACTTTGCAATAATTCCTCATGGTTTAATATTCTGCCTACAACCCCTTGATGTCTCTATAAATAAGTTATTTAAATCAAAGGTAATTTTTAATTTATTATAATATTCAAATTGGGTAGCTACCTACAAACAGCTATGCAGTATGTTATTTTATGTTCTAATGTCTATATCTTTAATCATTACTTTTTTTTTTTATAATATAATAGCTTTGCCACTTATATAAATGATGGTTTGATGAGGGTATTAAAGAATTTACATGTTCACATAAAATAAAACGTCCATCTTATGGTTTAGTTGCAAGTTGGATTAGTGAAGCTTGGGAATCTGTTGATCCTAACTTGATTAGAAAATTGTTTAAATGTTGTGAGATTTTGAATGCAATGGATGGAACTGAAGATGATTTAATCTTTGACTTCTCTCGAATTGATAATCAAACGAATCCAGAAAGAGGAATTAAGAATCAAGCTGAAGCAGATATTGATAATGAAGAAGGAGATAGTAAAAACGGTGAAGACAGCGAAGAAGGATATGGTAAAAACAATGAGGAAGATGGTAAAGATAATGAAATAGCCAATTATGACAATGAAAATAATAATACAAACGAAGGCCTTTTCGTGTATATTAATTATTATGGAGAAAATGAGAATGCCAATGTTATTCAAAATTGGAATTAGTCACTACAATACATTGGACAATGAACATTTAATAAATATTGGTAAATCATTTTATTTAAAAATGTCAGGCTTTTGAGTTTATTATTTATTAATAATAAATGATAAACCTAAAAGCCTGTTATCTCATTTTCCACTACCAACATTTATCCAAAATATTAGTTCTAGGGTTCTGCATGTACCAAGCACCACACTATATCTTCATAGCACCCTGCAGAATCCTAATTAGTTTACATATGTTAACTCTTTATTTTATTTATTACTTAGTACAATGTCATAAGATTTGGATTGTAATATCTTATTAGTTCAAGGTCGAATGATAAATTTTAATAAAGTTGTGCAGATACTTCAGAACAATAGCTATTTCTAATAGATACATATATGTATCTTAAATAAATAAGTTTACAGCCATCATGATTAATATTGGATGTTTTTAAATAGTTTAAATAATGAAGTGTTTTTTCTTTTAATAAAAATGGATGCTGATGCTAGTAAACACTCATTATTGTATAGAAAACTACTTAAACAATTTATATATTGTTTAAAAGTGAATATACATATATTACTTACATTATTATCTCTTTTTTTAAAAAAAATAAAGAATATTAAGCATACAATTCCAATTAATCATTGCGGTGAATTTATGAAACTCAAGTACCTTGACTAGACTATGAAGTGCGTTATTTACTATTTGTTTTTGACTTTTCTTATTATAAAATCATATAGATACCATCTTTTTACGAGAAGATGGATTAGACATTATCTATATGATTTTACAATAGGAAATGTCAAAAAACAGATAGTAAATGATGCACTTTATAGTTAGTCAAGGTACCTGAGTTTCATAAATTCGCTGTAATGTGCTACAAATCACAAATTTTCAATTCCAAGCATAATTTTGTACTTAACCAAGTTTGTTATATAAAATACCTGGGTTTTAAACATAATTCATTGTTTAAAATTTATAAAATACCCAGATATTATAGGTGGTAAAAAAATTTAAGCTATACAAAATACCCAGGTATTTTACATGGGGGTACAATAAATTGGGGGTCTCTTAATCAGTGCAGTACAGTAGTTTCAAGAAATTCTAAAGTGAAAGTTAAGGAGGGTGTGTGATTAGAGTCAAGATTGGTGCTAACTTTGTTTAAGGGTAGGGGTAGGGTTGTATCGGTCCTGAAAAAAACCGGTCTGGACCGGGTCCGATAAGAACTGTAGAACCGTTAAAGGATCAGTTCGGACCGGTCCTTGTAAATATAACAGTGATCTTTGTATCACCCAATCAAATTTCTTGATCAGGTATAACATAGATCATATGATGTTTTTTTACATCTAATGATCTGTAATTATGCCATTTTCGACCAATAAGATCTCATGCATTTAGAGATGACGTAACTATAGAAGAACCGTTTTGGGACTAATAACTAGACCAGACCAGACTATAAATCACTATTTAATCGGTCTATTAGGGACTGGGACGGACCAGACCGGACCAATGCATCCCTAGGTAGGGGGTATATTGATTATTTTTTATATGATCTTAGTGTTACAATGTGATTTTTGCAAAATTTGGAATATACTATTAATAAAACTTTTTATTGTTACAGTTAATTTTTATCAAATTTTTGTAGTAAATAGATTAGAATATATTTTTTATAGTAGTAAAAATTTTAATTGAAGATCCGTCACTCAACAGAAGAATTTTCTATATTAGGATGTGACGTAGATCACATATAGACAAGCCCGAATTAAAATTTTTATGTTATAAGTAAAGTCTTTAATTTTTTTAACAAATATAGAAATAAAGTAGTACGAGTAATAGAATAATACTAAAAGCTTTGAATTATAAAATTATTAAGAATCGATTCTTTTTTTTGGTTGACTTTACTTTGGACGAACGTGGCATTCACTATGTTAAAGTTTAATATAATTAAATCTATAAACTGAATCAAGGTATTTAATAATACCTTGATGTTAACTTATTTTATATCAAAGCTATGGATGTATTTTAATTTTTAGGCTTCCCGTAGTATATTACACTTAATAATAACTTTATAAGTATAATTTGTAGAATATTATTACTACATTTTAATATTTAATTACACGAAAATAAGCTAATACGCCTTTTTTTAGTTTATGTAGTAGCATTTTTCACAAAAGATCTCCGTTATGCCTTCTTTTTCTCAAAGCCAAATAGACAGCATTTCAGGTTAAAGTAACATTTTTCAAAAGGTCTTCTATTGTAGTATTCTTGAAAGGCGTATTTACCAACACTTTTCCTACTTGATACCAATTCGTTTATCATCAAGATTCAACGAAGTGAGTTCTTTCTATTTTAAAATGGATGAGATATTTATTTTTTAAAATAAGCTATTTGTCTGTTATTCTGCTATCCAAAAGACAGCTTATTAGTTTCTTGTTCGTATTTAGTAATAATGCTATAAGGGCTATAAGGGATAATAATGTTAGCGTGATGAGATCAATTTTATGTGTTTAATATGTCCGATTGGCTAACATAAGTATTGTTCGTCAATAAAACGATCAGCAAAATAGCCACTTTTTTTTATTTTGTTTTTAATTCCATATTAACAAACGATCTTTATATTCTCAAATTGAACGAAATGATCCATGTAATAAATTGGTTTAATGGGAAATTTGTAACAGTATATAGGTATTTAGATTCTTAGCATGTGAACTTGTTTTTAATTTAATTCCCCCACTTAATAAATGACTTTATATTTACAAGCTGAATTAATAATTCATGCAGATAGAGGTGTGGCAGCTTAGTGAAGTGGTCAAGTTGTCACCCTCTCCAAGTAGCAGGTCTAGGGTTCAAATCCCACG